GAGGTGTACAGGGTGAAGAGAAGAGGGGACAGCACAGTTCCCTGTGGTGCTCCTGTGCTGCTGACCACTGTGTCAGACGTGATGTCCTTCAGCCTGACGTACTGTGGTCTGTCGGTGAGGTAGTCGGAGATCCAAGCCACCAGGCAGGGGTCCACCTCCATCCTGTTCAGTTTTTCCTGAAGCATACAGGGCCGGATGGTATTAAAGGCACTGGAAAAGTCAAGAAACAGGATCCTGACCGTGCCTTTTCCCCCATCCAGGTGTGAGTGGGCTCTGTGTAGGAGGTACAGGATGGCATCCTCCACTCCGACACCCGCCTTGTATGCAAACTGTAGTGGGTCCTGGGCATGTTGTACCTGTGGTCGGAGGAGGTTGAGGAAGAGCCGCTCTAGAGTCTTCATAAGATGTGACGTCAGTGCCACCGGTCGGAAGTCATTCAGCTCATTGGGCCGGTTCCTTTTTGGGGACCGGGACGATGCAGGATGTCTTCCATAGGGCGGGCACTCTCCCCAGTCGCAGACTGAGGTTGAAGACTCGTTGTAGCGGCTCCCCAAGTTCAGCAGCACACGCCTTTAGCATCCTAGGACACACCTTGTCTGGGCCTGCTGCCTTTCTGGGGCGAAGCTTCCTCAGTTGCCTCCTGACCTGATCCACTGTGACACTGGGAGATGTTTGGAGGAGGGAGGGGGGGAGATGTCTTGCTGCTGAGAGAGGGATTGGAGGAGGGGGGTGTCATGGTGTCAGGAAGGGGGGGAAGCGAGGGAGGTAGGAGAGTGGGGATTGGACTCTGTAGTGAAGGTGAGGGTGAGGGTGGGGGGGTTGTGGGCTGGTCAAACCTGTTGAAGAAGTTGTTGAGTTCGTTTGCCTTCTCCACAGTCCCCCCCACTGTGCTTTTCTTGGTGTTGTGGCCTGTGATGGTTTTCACACCATTCCAGACCTCCCTCATATTGTTCCTCTGTATCTTGGAAACTGAAAAATAAATATTGCACAACCTCTTAGTCAGTTAGTTCAGTGCAATATAAAAATGCCATATAGTGCTGAGTGCAAGGGAGGCGGCTCCCAAGACTTAAAGTCTGTATCTGTAATGGTACATTAGTGCCTATGATTTCCACTTTGCATATCTGGAAAGGCAGCACTAATGCTGATAGGTATATACAGGTTTTAGAGCAACCTATGCTTCAATTCAGATGACTTCTCTCAGGAAAAACATTGTATATTTCAACAAATAAGGATCTAGTACAGCAGCATGGCTTCATAGTATTGTGCTGAACTGGTCTGCCGATATTTCACACCCTTCCCCATCAAATTCAAAAAAAAAATTTGACTGGTGGTTTTTTCTCATTTTAAACATTCAATATTTTTTCTGTGTTTATGCAATTTGCAAACCATTTCACATGGGTTGGACTTGTATATGGGTTAGTAAAAGGGACATTTCTGTATATTTGGTTTGCAGCTCACCACAGCACTGCACAATCAGGACATTTGCTTACTGCGTGCTTTCTGTGGCAGGTCTATTCAAAACCGTGTGCTTGTTTTGAAAAGGCCAGGCAAGCAGCTTCTCACATGTAACTCCCCTACCACTGCGTATCCCTGTTTTCTTGATACATAAAAAAGAGCAGATTCATTTAATGTTCATTAAATAAATGTGTATATTACTTTAATTTATTCATACATTGTATGTAAAAAGAGTAAAAGTAAAATTGAAGAAGTTATATTAACCCTCTCGAGGCAGGTGTTGCCGATTTGCAACAGTTAAAAACTAACAACCTGATTACCCCACATACATATTTTATGAGTTTTTTTTATTCAGAAGTACCACTGCAGGACTTGGTTGTGCATTAGCAACAAAAAGTTTAATTTGAGCCTGAGAGGGTTAATCAGAATCACATTAAATTCAAGGACATCAACATGACAATAGCCATTTGAGCAGCAAAGTCCAGCCAAAGGTGTGTCCTTCCATGAAGCACATACTTCAATTTATATGGTTAGTGACTGTGGTTATTGCTCTGAGGTAGTATTAGTTTTCCAACGTTCATTCAAGGTTTGTTGTACTGTATGCATAAAGAAATAGAAACAGAGATGTGTAACCATAGCTGATTTCTTAAGTAGTGAAACTTATTTCATGATTGTCCTGTCTCGTGCTTTGAAGGAAACAAAACACTTTTAATTATTTAAATTATTAATTATTTAAATCAGTCTTTTTCTTTCTCTTGTAATTTCATTCTGGCCAAGTGAAACAGAGTTCACATAAATTACAAAAATGTTTGCAAAAAAAAGATAAATCTATTTATTTATTTATGTATTTATTTATTTATTTATTTATAGGGAACCTGATTGGCTGTGCATGACAAGTCACCTGGAGATAAGTTATCTGAAGTTTTAGAGCTGGGTCACACCCAAAACACTCCCTTGTCAGTCATACATCTATAAATGCCTACGTGCACCACACATTTATGCATAGCCCATCCGTACCCTTTTACTCTGGTGCAGTGGCGGAGCGGGGGGGG